CATTTGGGGTGAGTGTGGGGGAAATTTCGTGAGGCGTAGAAAATTTGAAAGGGGGTAAGGCGGGGGGGGGGGATTGATGGGTAAAATAGAAAATTTTAAAAAGCGGGTTGGGGATATATTTTGGGGGAGTGGTTGTTTTGCAATTATTTAATAAATGTATGGATGAGGGTAAGGTCCCTGGGGATTGGCAGAGAGAGGGCATATTTTTCCTTTGTAAAAAGGAAAAAGGGGACAAAAGAGAGTGAAAAAAATTATAGGGGGAAAAGGTCTGTTGAGATACCGGGTTTAAAGTGTAGGGTTAGAGTTATTTTGAAAAAATTAAGGGGAAGACGGAGAAATTAGGATAGCAGATGAACAAGGAGGTTTTAGGAAAGGTAGGGGGTGTGGGGCCCCGGTGTTTACAGGGAACATATAAGTGAACAGTATTTGTTTAAGGCAAAAGGGGTTTCTTTTGGTTTTTTGGGTTTTGGGAAAAAAAAAAAAAGGGTATGACGGGGGTGGTTGGGGGGGGGCAATGTGGCAGGGGTTGGGAGGTGTATGGTATAGGGGGTTTGGGTTTACTGAAAGCAGTGAAGGGGTTTTTCCCGCGGTAGGGGCTCAATTTTTAAGGTAGTGGGAAAAAAGAGGGAAAACTTTTCCCATTTAAAAGTAGGCCTTAGACAAGGATGTGTGATGTCCCCCGTGGTTGTTTAATATATTTATAGAGGGGGTTTGTAAGAAAAGAAAATGCAAAAGGGTCTTGGCAAGAGGCGGGGCATTTTTAAAAGATAAAAAATTAAACATAAAGTGGGGGGTTTGTCAAGTTGCCTTTGCTGATGACACTTTGCTTTTGGGGAAAGAATCTGAAGGGGAAGTTGCAGAGATTGGGGGAAAAGGGAATTTGGGTAGGGTGTGCAAAAGAAGAAAATTAAAAGTGAATAAAGGAAAGGGGAAGGTTTTGAGGATAACAAAAAGATTAGGTGAGGAAAGGGTTGGAATCAGATTGGAGGGGGAGAGTATGGGGAGGTGAATGTATTCAGATATTTGGGAGTGGGCGTTGTCAACGGATGGTTTTTAAAAGGGATGAGGTGAATCATAGAATTGATGAAAAAGGGTGAGTGGTTTACTTAGGGAGTTGTGGAGACAAAGAACTTTGGGCCTTGGAGGAAAGAGAGGGAAAAAGTAGAGAGTTAGTTTTACCAACGCTCTTATATGGGTTGGGGGAAGCATGGGTTTATGAATGGTTTCAGTGAGGAGGGAAGGGGTGGAAGGGAGTGGAGATGTCATGTCTTTGGGGGAATTTGTGGTTGAATATAATGAGGGGAATTTTAAATTTGGAAGTTAGGAGGAGGTACGGGGTTTCCCAAAAATGTCGTTCCCGAGGGGTGAGGGGAAGGGGGTTTTTGGGATGGTTTTGGACATGTAGAGAAATGGAGGGAAACAGAATGACTTTCAAAAGGGGTACGTCTGTAGTGGAAAGGGAAAGGGGGGTAGGGGTCGGGGCCCAGGAAAGGGGAGGGGGGGGTAAAGGGGTTTTTGTTGGGGAGGGGGGGTTGGAAATTCCAAAAGGCATGCGTGAGGGTGTTTGATAGGAGTTTAAAAGGAGACAAATTTGGTTTTTTTAAAACTTGACGTGCTGTTTGGAAAAGGGGAGCAAATTTAAAATTTTTTAAAAGGGGGTTTAGGGGGAAAAACCCGGCAGGCCCGGGTTGAGGGCCTGGAGAAAGGGAAAATACAGTGCCTGCACTCTGAAGGAGGGGGTTTTTAATGTTGCTTTTTAAAAATGTATGTTTAAAGGGACCCTTCTGGCAAGACAGTGATGGAGTGAATGATGGTGAAAGTTTTTTTTTTTTGGGCCCCCTGCCTTGGTGGGGAAATTTGGCCCGTGTGTAATAAAAAAAAAAATATGAAGTTTCAAAAAATTTAACATTTATTAAGTGGCCCCTGATAACAAATTCAATTTTCTTGAGATAGCCTCTTTTCCCACACTATTTTTTATTGCCCCAGTCCAGATACCTGCTGGGTGCTCCCCCAGAAATGAACAGACCTGAACTCCCCCGGGTTTTAACCCTACTGGGGCTGTTGTATTTAGGGGAAGGGTGAGTTAGAACCCCGCGATGTTGTACCTGTTGGGAAGTGAAACACTTTAGAAATCTGGGTAGATTGTAATGTTTAAATAGTAATCTAATTTCCTTTTATGATACTGTACTCCTTTCTTGGTACTCTTGTTTTTCTTTTAAAGAGAATAATTTAAATCTCATCTACAAAAAATTAAAAGGGAAAAATTACTGAAAATTTACAAAAAATAAAATATACTTTTGGGAAATTTTGGTTTTAAATTTTAGCATTAAAAACCCCATTTCTTTTTGAATACATTTTTACTAGCACTATGATAAAAAAAAATTTTGCTTTGTGGGATCCCCAATTTTTTTTATGCATCAAATTTTTAAAATTATTTGGGAAAGGGATTGAAATTCTTGAATTACTGTGTTAAAATTATATTTTATAAGTAATGTATGATATAAACAGTAGACACACAGCCGTTACCTGAGGGTGACATATGAAGGTAGAAGCGTTTCCTACTATGATGGGGGGGAATGATGTTTTTCAATGGGCATGTTTCAACACCTTTTTATGCAGGAATTTGTGTGAATCGGAGACAGTCCAAATCTTTTGAGATGTTTAAAAAAATTTTTCTGGGTAGATGGTCCCGGGAGAAAAAAGCTTGGTAAAAAAAATTTTTTTTTTTTTTGGGTTTGTTTTGTACTTACCCAATTTTGATTGCAAGGGTTTATTTTACAGTTCTGGCCCTGCCTCTTTATTGGTCATATAGGTCCCCTTTTCTCCTGGGACTCATCTGAGTCTTCAACTTTCCCAAAGGGGACCCCCTTTTTGCTGGTCCCATCTCTGAAACATCCTGTTCCCCATCCACCCTTGGTTTAATCTTCTCAGTATTTTGTATGTTATTATATATCCCCAATCCTTCCCGTCCTACAGGGTTGTCCCGGGTTTAATTTCCCCTTTAAAACCCCTCCTCTTCGATTAGTCTTGTTGCAAAAATTTTGCACTTTCTCTAATTTCTTGATTTTGCTTTGCCCGGTGTTTGGGTTTATACCCGGTGCTGCATTTTCTCCAATTTGGGTCTGAGTTTCAGGGGGTTTCAGAGTCCTGAAAAGTTCCCTTTCTGAAGTGTTGGAATGCTATTTTTTAGGTTCACCAGGTGCCTAAAATGCTTGGAAACGGTTTAAATTTTTTTTTATTGTGCACCCAGAAGATATGCCGATATTATATTAAACCCCAAAATCCTTTTCTTTTTAGTGAAGTTTGCGTTTTTGGGGTCCCCAGGGGTGTTTTCTCGTCCCCAGTCTTTTCTGCCCTTCTCCAATCTTCTGACTTTGCATTTTGGGGGAGTTGGGAAATCCAGGAGAAATTGGTGGACCAGGCCCTTTCAACCTGTCTAGATTCCTTTGTAGTCCCGCCTTAAAACCTCATTCAACTGAATTCTAATAATAATAATAATAATGGAATAATATCTTTATTTCTACAAGTACATGACAAGGTTACAGGCCCTAGCTGACATCAATGGGCATAACTATTTTGAAAGGCCCCTCGTTTTGCAGAGCTTTTTAGGCAAATTAGGGGCAGTTCTGTCCAGGAAGCAACCCCCCACCGGTTTGGCTAACACCCCCCAAAGGGACCCATTTTACTGATAGGTGAACACAGGGAAAAAAGGGGTAAAGGGAAAAATGCCCCAAAGGTTTTACCCTTGCCCGGGGGGTTTAACCCCGACTTTCCAGCATGTGAAATGAAAAGTTTTTTTTCCCCCAGGCCATGGTCTGAAAAAAATGGGGGCAAATTTTTTAGTATACCCCTTCTGTTTGTCATTCACATGTGCCAGAAACAGCATCAATCCTAGGACTGACCCTTGTGGAACCCCACTCATCACAAGTGCCCACTCTGATACCTCATCACATACCGTGACTCGTTGTTGCCTTCCTGTCAAGTATTCTCTGATCCACTGCAGTGCCTTTCCTGTTGTACCTCCCTGATCCTTTAGCTTTTACACTAGTCTCTTGTGTGGAACTGTGTTGAAAGCCTTCTTGTAGTCCAAGAAAATGCAATCTACCCACCCCTCTCTCTCTCTCTCTCATCTTACTTCCATCACCTAGTCGTAAAACTCCAGTAGGTTGGTGACACAGGATTTCCCTTCCCTGAAACTGTCCTGGTTTTTGTATAAAAGCTCATTCCTTTTTAGGTGCTCCACCATTCTTTGGCTGATAATCTTGTGTGTGTATGAGTGGGGGGAAGGCTGCTTCTTCATTAGTCACTACTAGTCCACTATCTCCCAGCACCAAGAGATTTATCATACCTTTTCTTAAAGATATGCATGGATGCTGTATCTATTCACTCCCCATATTGTTCCACTTCTTGACAACTCTAAGGATAAAGAAATACTTCCTAACATCCATATAACTCACTTGATTTTTCAACTTCCAGCTGTGTCCTCTTGTTACTGTATCCCATCTCTGAAACATTCTGGTCCTGTTTACATTGTTAATTCCTCTCAGTATTTTATATGTTGTTATCATGTCCCTCCTATCCCTCCAGTGTCATCAGGTTGAGTTTCCTTAACCTCTCCTCATAGAACATACCCCTTAGCTCAGGGACTAGTCTTGTTGCAAACTTCTGCACTTTCTCTGCTTTCTTGATGTGCTTGACCAGGTGTGGATTCCATACTGGTGCTGCATACTTCAATATGGGGCTGATGTATATGGTGTACAGTGTTGTTAAAATGCTATTCTTAGGTTTGCCAGACACCCATACGCTGCAGCAGTTATTTGGTTGATGTGCGCCTCAGGGGATGTGGCCATATTCATTTCATAATTAGAGAGAGTGCATTGTCAGTGTTACTGGCCACCTCACCAATTAAGGAAATCACATATCTAGCTTCTCAGTGTTCATGTTGAAGAGTACCTCATAGTGAACATGTTGTTGAATAGCACATCATAGTCAAGACTTACCTATAGCCATTAAACAATGACGAGATGGCAGTTGTCTGAGGAGTAACATTCTTCCACTTGAGAGCTGCCTCAACCATCTTGCCAGCATCAACAGCTCCATAGCCCTGCAAAATTAATAATGCTTTTTATCCTAGTGTCATTTTTATCCCCAAAATTTTCATCAGAGGTGTACAAGAATTACCTTTATTTTCACTGTATCTGTGTCTTGTCTTTTCACAGGAAAACAGTTTTTCATAAAAATACTCAAAGCTTTCCCTCAAGAGATCATTTATGTACTGTAGTACTACTGTCTTTTTTTTAAAACTGTTCTGATATTTCTCTACTGTACCTTGTTCTAAATTACTGAGATATTCTTCACTGAGAAAATTCAATATTTTCCTTTAGATATTTATTTATTATAGTATTTCATGCGAGAGAAAAATGCACTTTTTCATAAGTCCATCCCACAATCCAAGCTGAATTGCTTGCCAGACACTCATCACTGAAAAGTTTTCATGTGTCCAGTCTTGAAACTTTAATTTTAAGTGACTATTGTCCTAAATGCTCAAAATTCCATGAGACATGAGTACAACATGGGTGTGTAAAGTCAGACACAGGTATCAGAAAATTATTGACAGCCTACCACCTGTAGATTCCTTGGCACACTGGCTTTCAAATGCATGAATGATCCAATGAACTGACAAAGGGTTGACCACCAGCAGTCTAAGGACAATTACAGGCAAGGAATTCCAACGATTTTATAAAAACAAACACAAAAATAAAGCAAACACACACACATGCACACCCACACAACCAAAAAACCATATATATGATCCAAAATTAAAATGCATTAAGGTAAGTAAGTTTATTCTGGTTAACACAAATACAGTTACATAAGATAAGATAAGAGATAAGATTTCGTTCGGATTTTTAACCCCGGGGGTTAGCCACCCAGGATAACCCAAGAAAGTCAGTGCGTCATCGAGGACTGTCTAACTTATTTCCATTGGGGTCCCTAATCTTGTCCCCCAGGATGCGACCCACACCAGTCGACTAACACCCAGGTACCTATTTGCTGCTAGGTGAACAGGACAACAGGTGTAAGGAAACGTGTCGAAATGTTTCCACCCGCCGGGAATCGAACCCGGGCCCTCCGTGTGTGAAGCGGGAGCTTTAGCCACCAGGCCACCCACATAGATTATCATACATAGCAGCATAGTTACAAGTAACCAGTTACCAGTAGATGACTCCTCCAACCGTCTGTGTGAATCACTGACTGTTATTCATGTTGCTGCTGACCATAGCATGTTTCTGAATGCCGCTCACCCCCTAGGCTTCACTGGTGGGTCAGTCTTAAAATTAGAGAGCAGAGAGGCAGGGTGGCACGACTTCTTCTCATACTTTCCGTTATAATTATACGTACTACTAACCAGCCTACGTGCATGTTCTTACCCAATCCACGTTATCGAACCCCCACATGACACCGCGCCTTCCTTGCCCTACAGATTTATACACTCTCCAAGTCATTCTACTTTGATCCACTCTCTCTAAATGACCAGACCACCTCAACAACCCCTCTTCAACCCTCTGACTAATACTTTTAGTAACTCCACACCTTCTCCTAATTTCCACACTTTGAATTCTCTGCATAATATTTACACCACACATTGCCCTTAGACAGGACATCTCCACTGTCTCCAGTCGCCTTCTTACTGCAGCATTTGCAATCCAAACTTCACACCCATGTAAGAGTGTTGGTACCACTATACTTTCATACATTCCCTTCTTTGCCTCCATGGATAATGTTTTTTGTCTCCACAGATAACTCAATGCACCACTCAACTTTCTTCCTTCATCAATTCTATGGTTAACCTCATCCTTCATAAGCCCATTTGCTCACAAATTAACCCCAAAATATCTGAAAAATCACTTCTTCCATACCCCCTTCCCAATGTGCACCATTTTTTCTTTTTTTTTACCCTCATCCCCTTACTCTTATCTATTTTCATTTCAACTTTCTCCCTTTACACATCCCCCCAAAACTCATCATGCAGGAGGACCACATGCTATGGACATCCAACAAATAATCACATTTTTGGATGTCACAACTGCCCGGCTCCAGCTGGGTTACAAGTATCTTGGGGCGGGTTTAAAATCACTACCCCCAATTAGCCCAAATAAAATGCAACTTTGCCAGAGGGGACTATGTACACCCTGCATATTATGTACTGGAGTGCAAAAAACTAATGAATTCGGACAAATCACTCAGAAATGTTCAAATATGTCAAAGTTTTTATCCACATGGTACTTAAGACTATTTTGGAAAAATACCCCGAATTTGCTCCCGTAAATAAAGCATTGCCAGTACTGTGTGTGTGTATCACCTAGTTTAGGTTTCAGGGGGAGCCAAGTCCCGGCCCTGCCCTTCCTGGGCGCTACTAGGGCCCCCTTCCCGAACCGTGAGCTTTTTCATACCTCGCTTAAAGCTATGTATGAATCCACCTCCCAAACTATTCCATTCCTGATAACTCGTGGGTGAAGAAATACTTCCCAACATCCCTGTGATTCTCTGTGTGTGGGTGTGGGAATGTGCGCACGTCACCAATTTTGATTGCAGGGGGGCGAGACTCCCCCCTGGCCCCGCCCTTTTACTGACCGCTACGGGTCCTCCCCCCTGCTCCATATGCTTCATCATACCTCGCTTAAAAATATGTATATTTTCCCGCCTCCATACATGCTTGCCAGACTATTCCCCTTCCTAACAACTCGGGCTGAAGAAAAATTTCCTAACATCCCCTTTTACTCATTGAGTCTTAGCTTTCCAAATTTTGACCCCTTGTTTCGTGTCCCATCTCTGGAACATCCTGTCCTGTCCACCTGTCTTTCTATTCCTGCAGTAGTTTGTATGTCATTATCATGTTTCCCCCGACCCTCCTGTCCCCATGCTCAGACCAATTTTCCTTAAACCTTTCTTCATAGGACTTCCCCTTAGCTCTGGAACTAGTCTTGTTGCAAACCTTAGCAATTTTCTAATTTCTTTACTTGTCGACATGTGTGGATTCCAAACTGGTGCTGCGTATCCATTGGGCCCGACATACCGTGTATAAAGTTTTGAATGATTCCTTCAAGGTACCCGGAAAGCTATTTCAGGTTTGCCAAGCGCCCATATGCTGCAGCATTATCTGGTCAATGTTTGGGTTCTGGGACGTACCGGTATTATATACTCCTGGGTCTTTTTTCCCTGATGAGGGTTTTCAATCTTTGGCCCCCTGCCTATACTCTGTCGCAGTCTTTATGATTTTGCATTTGGCGGGGTTAAATTCTGGGCCAGTTGCTGGACCAGCATCCAGCCCGTACAGGTCTCTTTTTAGACCCGCTGGGCTGGTCCTGCTTTTCACTTTGTCATGATCCTGTCGTTTCAGCTCCTTTACCCCCCCTTTTATTCTATGTAAAAGCCCCACGCACCTCCCCATCTCACTCCGCCTTCTTCATCCCAAAAGATGGTTTTACCTCCCTGGCCAGTCAGAAATTCCGCCTCTTTCTTGTCGACATTAAAATTCCTCAAAATTTCTCGCCATTTTCCCAAAACCTCCACCCCCATCACACTCCCCTACTTGTTTTTAAATGACAAATCCATTTATTCCTTTGGCTTTCTTAATTGTTTTAATTCACTCCAAAATTTTTTCTTATTTTCATTAAAATTTCTTGACAGTGCCTCTCCCACTCTATCATCTGCTCTCCTTTTGCACTCTCTCACCACTCTCTTCACCTTTCTTATACTCTCCATATACTCAACTCTTCTTATAACACTTTGCTTTGTAAAAACCTCTCATAAGCTAACTTTTTCTCTTTTATTACACCCTTTACTTCATCATTCCACCAATCACTCCTCTTTCCTCCTACACCCACCCTCTTATAACCACAAACTTCTGCCCCACATTCTAATACAACATTTTTAAAACTATTCCAACCCTCTTCAACCCCCCCCCCACAACTCATACTTGCACCAGCCCACCTTTCTCCCAATAGTTGTTTATATCTCACCCGAACTTCCTCCTCCCTTAGTTTATGCACTTTCACCTCCCTCTTACTTGTTGTTGCCATTTTCCTCATGTCCCATCTACCTCTTTCTCTAACTGTAGCTACAACTAAATAATGATCTGATATATCAGTTGCCCCTCTATGTAAATGTACTTACTAAAATATACCAACCACACTGTATACTTGCAAGGAAATAAAGAATTTAATTTAATTTAACTTGTTCTCTATAGGCTGGAATACTGCAGTACACTAACTGCCGCCTTCAAGGCAGGGGAAATTGCTGACCTGGAGAGTGTACAAAGAACTTTCATGGCACACATAAGTATGAATAGGCACTTAAATTACTGGGAACAGTTGAATACTTGATCCGTATTCCCTGGAGTGCAGGTGAGAGAGATACATGATAATATACACATGGAAAATCCTAGAGGGATCAGTACCAAACTTGCACATGAAAATCACTCCCTATGAAAGCAAAAGACTTGGCAGGAGATGCAACATTCCCCCAATGAAAAGCAGGGGCCCCACGAGTACACTGAAAGACAACACAATAAGTGTCCGGGGCCCAAGACTGTTCAACTGCCTCCCAGCATACATAAGGGGGATTACCAATAGACCTCAGGCTGTCTTCAAGAAGGCACTGGACAGGCACCTAAAGTCAGTATCTGACCAACCAAGCTATGGTTCGAACATCAGTTTTCGTGCAGCCAGCAGTAACAGCGTGGTTGATCAGACCCTGATCCACCACAAGGCCTGGTCTCAGACCGAGCTGCGGGGGCATTGACCCCCCGATACCCTCTCCAGGTAACTCCAGGTTAGAGTTTTTGCCTTTTACATCATGTCCCGCACTTTTTTTATACTGTGCACATTCACTACACAGACCCATCTTCTCATCTCTAGGCCAAAATTTACCATTCACAACTTATATGAGTGAGCCGAGCTCAAACCGTAGACCCACGTAAGTGATCCTGGAGTCAGCAACGCAGATCTACATTAGGGACAGTGAAAGGGTTAATTGAAACAAAAGGAAATGGCTAAAATTTGGCAGAAGGAAAGTAAAATCATTAAGACTGCTAAGATACATGTAAATAATTCATTACCACTGTAACTCGCTTAACTACCAAAACTTTGGGGCCCAGTTCCTGAACACTTTATGTGCCTCTGTAATTTTCTGACTACTGCCCACACAATGAGTATGAGGTACATAATGAAGCTATTAAACTAACTTACTATAGAAATTTAATACAATACTGCATAACTCTGCAGTACAAGTCAAGATTAATTTTTAAGAAGCATGTTATTGTGACTCAAGCTCTGTATGCACAGTGAGACTGGAGCTACCATCTCCTTGCTGGAATCACTGCTCATTTCTCAGGTACTTTGTACTGTGTGATATTTGTTGGGGTTTCACCCCCCCCTTTCTATAAAATAATAAAAACATATTTAAACTTAATAATAATAATTCAGGGTTTAAGCCCCAAAACCCCATGGGGGTTATTCAGCACAAGTTTGGGGGTTAAAGGCTTGATCCTCCATCTGTTAAAAGTGCAAGAAGATTGGTCCTATCTGGGTCACAAAATGATAGAAATTAATATTACTACTACTACTACTACAAAATAAAAAAATTAAAAAATTGGGGGGTTGTTTTTGGAAAAAATAATGGCTTTAAATGTTATTGGCTAATTTTGATGGTATAAAATTGTTATGGGCCCCTAAACTTGAGCATTTATTTTGATTTTGGGGGGTTCTGCTAATTTTATTGGTATTGTACCCACTACCAGTATGGGTTTAAATTTTTGAGGGTTTACATTTAAAAAACCTTGGTTTTTGGGAGTGCCCCACCAAAACATTTTTTTTAAAGATCGAGCAGTTGCTCAATTTTTTTTGTTTTGGATTTTGGAGCAAAAATTAAGCTTGCGAGTTTCCCCCCTCAAGGGAGGTTCCTTGACGCGGTGGGGGGGTCTTGTTTTCTATGGAATTGTATTTGTCCCTCCAGTTCCCTAAATTAACCCTAAAAACCCTTCCCACCCCCCCCCTTTCCCAAAAGAAGCACTGTTAATTTTTATGGATTTAGACTTCAGAAAAGTCATTCGGGTCAAGTCAGAAAATCAGAAAGAAAGGTCATTCAGTCAAGCCATTTAAGTAAAGTCAGTCAGTCAAGTCAGAAAGTCAAGTCAGTAATTAAAGGGTCAGTCAATCAAGTCGGGTAAATCGTCAATCAAGTCAGTAAGTTATTCAGTCAAGTCAGAAAATCACCCGGGTAAAGGGTCAATAAGCATTCAGTAAAAGACAATAAGTCAAGTCAGTAAGGCAGTCAAGTCAGTAAGTCATTCAGTCAAGTCAGTAAGAAGTCAGTCAGTCAAGTAATTTCGCCCGAAAAGGTCAGTCGTCAAGAAGTCAGTCAGTAAGTCGTCAGTCAAGTCAGTAAGTCAGTCAGTAAAGTATTTAAGGGTCAGTCAGTAAAGTAAGTCAGTCAGTAAGCCAGTCAGTCAAGTCAGTAAGTCAGTCATTAATTTTAATAGTCAGTCAGTCAAGTCGAAAGGGTCAGTCAGTCAAAGTCAGAAAGGTCATTTTTTAAAGGGCCAAAAAAACCAATTAAAAACCCCACAAAATTCCTTTTTTTCCTTGCAAGTTTACTATTTTGGTTGACTTTCTTTTAGGAAATATATTTAAATGGGTTAGTTTACGTGAGGGTTTATAATTTGTAGTGTAAAGAGGGCCACTTTTTGCCTTGGCTTTATGGCCAGTCAAAACTTAATACATTTGTTACATACAACACCAGACTTAAAAAAAACATATTTTTGAAAAGGTTGCACAAAATAATACAAAGCTTAAAATTTCTTTTAAATATTTGTTATTAAAACTTTTTGCTTTTAGTTTAAAAATTGAAATTTATTTTCCCTTGAGCATTTATTAGGGGGTTTTTCTGGGCTGGGGGAAAGTAATACAGGGGGGAAATATTTTGAGGCTTGGAGAGTGTTTTGTTAGCTTTGAAAGGTAAATTTTAAGTCCCTGAGTTGGGTTTGTTTGTGGGTAAAGTTAAGTTAGTATTTATTTTTTGGGTAAAGTATGGGGGTTTTTAAGGAGGGTTTCCCTTTTGGGTATTCACAGGTAAAAATTTCCCAAAAATTTTTTTGGCCCTTTATGTCCCACTGAGTTTTTACATATTTGTGAGAGGGAAAAAAAGGGAACATAAAAGAGTGAAATTGTCTTGTGTTATGGTCGGGGGATCCTTTTTAAGTCGGGGGTTAAGGGAGAATTTTGAGTAGAGGGTTTATTTTTGGAGTGTAGTGTTCTATGTATGTAGTAGGCACATAAAAAGTATGGGATGTTTTTTTTGGGTTGAGAAGTTTAGATTTTTGGGGGAAAATTTTTTTGGGGGGGGAATATGCGTTGGAGTGGGAGTTTTTCTTTTTTGGATGCAGATTTTTTGCTGGGTTATTAATGGTCTGAAAATTAAATGGCAGGTTTAAATGGAATGGATTAATGGCATTTCAGTTAATTTCAATGAGGAAAAATTGATTTGATTTTTAAAAGGGAAAATTAAAGTTACGAGCTAGGTCAGGGAATGGATTAAACTTGCAAGTAAAGGGTTTCCCACTGAAACTGTACCTATTTTTTCCTCAGTGGTCCAGGTAGTTGTTCCCACTATTCCTCCCAAGAGTTTTAAAAACCTTCTTCCCCCGGGCCCAATTGGTTTGCCAGCCTTCCTTTCCAATGTTTCCCTTTGGGTGGGAACTTCTTTTCTCCACAAAAAATATTGCATTTTCACGCCATGTCAGGTTCGGACTAAAAGCAAATACAATTACAAAAATATTATGCAATAGAAAAATGTTATAGTAAGTAGTTTATGTAAAATGGTTTGGGTATGATGAATTATGTGACTTGTAAAGTTTCCTGGTTTGAAAATTGAGAAACTAGTCAGTAGAAAAGGTAGAGATGCCCATGCTCAATACCAGCTTTACACAAATGATAAATAGAACATGTGCAACACTTGTGTATCTTTATTACTGAAGTGTTTTGCCTGTACAACAGACTTCTTCAGGTGAATGCAGGTGAATATATCACTGGATATAGTAGAATTTTTTTTTTTGAGGTGATCAGTCCCTCAGCCTTGATAGGTGGTCAGTATCTCAAGCCTGAGGACTGAAGCAGTCTGATGCGGAGGCAAAACATTTCAGCAATAAAAACACTGAAGTGTTGCATGTGTCTTATTCATCAACTCAAAGGTATTGCATGCCTTCAATATGATTTACATAAATGCTTCCTTGGCCTTGTACAGTGAGGTTTCATACTAGGCAAATAAGATTGGAACACTGTATTTGTCTTGGTTAAGTTTTCTTGGCCTAAATAATAATAGTAATAATAATCTGAGATTTTGTTATTCTTGAGTGCCAACAAAAATAATGAAGAAATACTAAAATTTATATTCAATCACTGGAGAACAGCAAAAAAATAATGTAGTGACGATAAATCACCAGTCCCAAATACTTGACATCTTGGTGAGCCCTCCCTTAGCATCACTATCTACATATTTAGAATGATAATTTTTATGACTCTATACCTATCCTGCAGGGAAATCAACAGATTGATGAATAATGGGCGAGAGACTGGACTTCAATTTTTTTAATAGCAAGTTAAGCCAATTCGTAATAATGAACAACATACGTGGATCCCCGCTTAACGATCACCCCCCCAATGCCCCAATTTGTATGTGTATTTATGTAATGCGTTTGTATGTGTTTTTTGGGGGGGTCTAAAAAGGGGCTAATCTACTTCACAATTTTCCCTTTAGGGGAAGAAATTCGGTCATACTGGACCTGAACATACTTCTAAAAATGAAAAAAATCGTTAACCCGGGGGGTCCACTGTATTGCAACCTTTTTTCCCAAGAAAAATTTGCTCCAAAAAAATTTTGCTCCAAAATAAAATTTTGTTTTTCAAAAAGAAAAGGAGGACAGCAAAAAATATCCTCACTTTGCATAGTTATAAACACATGCTTATCAACTTAGCCATGCAATCAATGCATTAAAACTAAACTTGCAAATAAGAATCTAAAAAAAAAAACACTTCATTTGTTTTTAAAATATGTGAGGAACTGAGGAATTTTTGGCTCAGAAGGCCCACACTTACCTACAAGCACATCAAAAACTTAATAAAAAATTGCTTGGAGGAATAGAATACTGTACTAAGACACAGCAGATACCAGAGTACCTAATACGAACTGTACTAGGACAACAGATACCAGAATGTTTAATACTGTACTAGGACACAACAGATACCAGAATGCTTAATACTGTACTAGGACACAACAGATACCAGAATGCTTAATACTGTACTAGGACAAAAAAGATAACAAATGCTTAAACTTACTAGGACACCGATTACCAAAAAATTTTAAACTGTACTAGGACACAAAAAAACAGAATGCTTAATACTGAAATAGGACACAACAATACCGAATGCTTAATACTGTACAGACTGGGAAAAACAGTCCCCGAATGTTTAATAAGTACTAGGACACAACAGATACCAGAATGTTTAATACTGTCGTACTAGGACAACAGACCCCAGAATTTTAATATGTACTGGACACAACGATACCAGAATGCTTAATACTGACTGGACAAAACAATACCAGAATGTTTAATACTGTATGGGGACACAACAGATACCAGAATGCTTAATACGTACTTTTTAAATACTGTACTAGGACACAACAGATCCCAAAAATGTTAAATTGTACATGACTAGGACAACAGATACCAGAATTTTTAAAATACTGTACGGGGACACAAACATCCCAAAATGCTTAATACTTACAGAAGGACAACAGTACCAGAATGTTTAATACTGTACTAGGACACAACAAAACCAAATGCTTAATACTGTACTAGGACAAAAACAGATACCAAAAAGTTAATACTGAAAAGTTTAATACTGTACTAGGACAAACAGTTTCCCAAATGTTTAAATACTTTACAGACTGGCCCCCCCCCCCGATACCGAATGTTTAATTACTGTACTAGGACACAACACATACCAAAATGTTTAATACTGTACGGGACAAAAAGGTACCGAAGCTTAATACTGTACTAGGCCACAAAAAAAACCAGAATGCTTAATAAGTAGGGAAACAACAATCCCAAATGCAATGTGTACTGGGAAATAACGATCCCAAATGCTTAATACTGTACATTTAGGAAAAAAGATGTAGAATGCTTAATATGTATGGAAACAATTAGCATACACATAAGCTTAATATTTTCTAGGAAACAATTAGCATATACCAGTAAGCTTAATACGTACTGGGGAAACAATTAGATATACCTAAAAATACTGTACTAGAGAGCAATTAAGAAAACCCAGCATGCAGTGAGATTTAATTGAGATTTATTAGGTTTTTTTAACAATATTAGGATGTTTTTTAATAAGAATCCAAAATGGGCAGGAGAGTTTGGGATTTTTGCTGGCTAGATTTGTTCCTATAGCTGAAAAAAATCCTAATTTTGCTGGGGGGAATTCATTAGTGAATTTATTATGCCCAATACTTATGTGAGAAAGAATTTTCCAAATTTTTATTTTTCTATTTTAAAATTAAATGAATCTTTTGCATAATTAAAATAAAATAATTAAAATAAATATGACTAATCACTTTTTTAAAACAACCCAACAAAAAAACTGTAGGTTGATGATCCCCCATTCCTGTACAGACGGTTTGATTACTAAAGAAAGACAAAAAAATACACGTAAATACTCAAAACTAAATGAAAACAAACAAATGCATTATAAAAATGATTTATTTTTAAATAAAAGCGATATAAAGGACCTGGCAAACCCCTCCCAAAAATTTGGGCTCTAGAAAACTGTTAGAAACAGAGAGATAAACTTAATAAACAGATGAGCCTCACATACAGCCTTTAAAACATGGCCAAAAACTTTAATTTCTTTTACGTAGGATCAAAAACTAGCAAGCAAAAAATTTCCCAAACTCAAATACTCAGCCGAAACTACCTCACGGGGAAATACCCAAATACTCCATATCTGCTCCAATAATTCTACCGAAGTCTCACTCAATTTTTAAAAACATTAACCCCTTACTGTTTCGGTCACATATACGTTCTTTTTACGGCCACAGTGTTTTTACGTATTTTTACGCATAAAATTTTAGCAGCTTCAAAACAAGCGGGAGAAGGCTGGTGGCCTACAGAGAGGATGGGTCTGAGTGGTGGGTGTGCACCCTGTGAAAAAAAATCTGGGACTCAGTGGTGATTGTGGGGAACGCCCCTTGGTAGCCCATTTTCACCATGCCCCACTCTTTGGCAGATTGGAGGTCTTTTTTTCCCAAGTGTAGCTCTCCCCCGCGATTTGGGAAAGGCAACTGAAAATGAATTCATGGGTTTTTTAAAAGGTTTTTTACCGAAAACAGGCCCAGGAAAAGTAATTAGTATGAAAAGCAGATGATCCCCAACCCTTCCCCCTCTGGTGCTGGGGGGGCTCATTAGTTACCCGTACCAGGACAGGAGGAAACTATTTTCCCTGTACAAGACTCGATGTGAGCAGTGAAGTGTTTGTATTTCAAAGTACTGAAAACAGTTCTAGAGTGACAGTGAGGGGAATATTTTTCCCTGAATGGCAAATATACACGACTAGCATGCAGCTGGTAGTGTGTCATATGTTTTCCCAAGGGGAAAGGAGCAAATCTCAGAGCACATCCCCTAGCCCACCCACGAACTGATGTGAGGGGTGATGATATTGTTTCAAAGGGATGAAAAGTTGAGTAGGCAGCGGTGGTAGTGGTGATAGTGGTGGTGGCATGGTCGTGGGACAAGCAGTGGGCCATGCTACTACGATGCTGCAAAACAGACAACCACAACCACCTACCAAACCCCCCTCCCACAACATCCACAACCCCTACCTGCAAACCATAAACCCCGTTTTGATATCCAAACCCCCCAGCAGACCGCACTGGGATTGGGAGCAAGGCGACAGTTTTGTTCCCAGTCCCCATGACTTTGATGAAAAAATGGAAACGGCCCTCATGTACACTTGGGGAAAAATGCTACTGAACTGGAATCTTTCAGTTATTCTTCGATGAACCCCTGATGGACATTATGTCAGGGAAAGCAATACAACTTGAGAACACAAAGGCAAACACAATTTTTTTCCCGATCATGCCTACACCGGGAAGGGGAAACTGTGGCAGAGATGTATCTGTTCTTTGCCACAAAAAATGCTTTTGCCCCATGGTAAAGACAGTGTCAAACATACTGGTCGACGACCGCTGATTTCAACCCCAGCTTTCAGCGACATTATACCAATGAATAAATTTTTGCTCTGTTATGTATGCTACACTTTTTTAGGGGCAAAACAGGGGTTACAGAAGCGACAGGTTATATAAAATCATAAATGTGTTTATGTACCTGAAACAAAAATGCTGTATGTATTTTTATCCCCTTTAGGAAGCTTGTTATTGATGAGTCTTTGATTTTGTTCAAAGGGAAAACTCTCATTTTAAGAGTACATACCAAGCAAGAGGAACCGCTTTGGTATAAAGTTTTTGTCTGTTGATTGTAAAAGTGGTCTGGTTTTGGTATAATTGTGTACACTGGGAGTAAAACATTGCAAAATCGAAGAAGTACTGGGGACTCTGTGATGTGGTTAGAACAATGATGGAACCATATCTTGGTAGGGGATATTTAATATATGACAACTGGTACCAAGCCCCCCATGATTTTTTTTTTGAGTGAACATGACAGATGTGTTGGCACAGTGGTGCAAAACGTAAG